GCTCGTGTGCGCTCCTCCCTCCCTCTTCAGCGGCGCAGCATCTTTACCCTCTCCCCCCCTCTCCCATCTGCAATCTGTTGCGTTTTGCTTTCTCCTTGTGCCTGGCGACCCTGAGAGCCCAGCCAAGGATAAACACCCCATTTATGTCACGGCAAAGATTTATATCCGGCATCTCCGGCACAAGCCAGGTGAGCGCCGAGACCTTTTCCATCACGTCCGTGGGTTGCAATTTATCACCACGAAGCGGTCTCGGCCCCCCCCCGGCACGTGCGGCTGGGATTTATCTGCCATGATGGCTGTGGATGGAAGTGAGAGTGAGCTGTCACCGTTGTCTCGCTAATAAATGGAAGATGATCAGCAAAAAGAAAATATGATCCCCCTGTCCCGGGGACCGCGGAGCTGTAATGGCATTAGGGCTTTGACGGGCACGAGGACGGGCTGACGGATGTCTCAGGCCTTGTTTTCCTGTGGGGCTCTCGTGTCTCCTCATGTCCCCACGGTTTGCCGTGTCCTTTGGGGTTTCCCTGACCACCGTGTGCAGGTTTGATGGTGCAGAGCCCTCCTGCTGCCCTGCGGGTGCCACATGGCTGGCAGTCCCCGATGCCCTGGGGGTGATGCCGCAGCCGCCGTACCCATCCTCATCCTCAACCCCTCAATCTCTCATCCTCTCAACCTCTCATCCTCATCCTCTCAACCTCTCATCCTCAACCCCTCAACCTCTCATCCTCAACCTCTCAACCTCTCAACCTCTCATCCTCAACCTCTCAACCTCTCATCCTCAACCCCTCAACCTCTCATCCTCACCCCCTCAACCTCTCATCCTCAACCTCTCAACCTCTCAACCTCTCATCCTCAACCTCTCAACCTCTCATCCTCAACCCCTCAACCTCTCATCCTCAACCCCTCAACCTCTCATCCTCAACCTCTCATCCTCTCATCCTCAACCTCTCATCCTCTCATCCTCAACCTCTCAACCTGTCATCCTCTCAACCTCAACCCCTCATCCTCATCCTCCTGTTCCAGGCTGGGCATCACCCGGGCGGCTCCTCTCCAGGTGGCTTTGGGGACGGATGGGCCATCAGGGTGCGATCCTCATTGCTGCCTTTCTCGCTCTCTCCGCAGGCAGCGACGCGATGGCGGCTGGCCGGGGGAGCTAAGCCGCGCCCGGGCGCCAACCGAAAAAAAAGGCACCGCCGGCAGCGAAAAGGCTGGTGGGGACGCAGACAGCCGTGACTACGCTGCCGAGAGCGCGGTCAGCAGGAGCCCTGGTGAGAGCTGCGCTTCTGCGTGCTTGTGCGCCCTTCTGCATGCTTGTGCGCTCTTCCACCTGCTTGGAAGGAGAGGGCTGGGGGACACAAAGCCGGCAGCCGTACGAGGGGTGTTTCTGCCCCGTGTGTGGCACGAGGTGATGCTGAGGGATTTCACAGCGCAGAGCAGCCGTCTCTCCTGTTTCCCGCGCCCGCTGTTTTACACTGCTCCGTTGGGATTTGCTGACGGGGAGGTCCGGGGTGTTGGTGGGATCGGGGGGAGACATGGAGGGGGATCCCCGTCCCTTCCCCGGCGTGCGGGGAGGATCCTGCCCTGCTTTTCCTTGCAAAGGGATCTCTTACGGCCAATGGAAAGGCATGAATTTGAAAAGACCCACGCACGATGTGAGAGCTGCGGGTGGAAAAAGGAGTGGGCTCAGTGCTTTCCAGGCTAATTTTAAGAAGAGGTGAAATGCAGCCGAGGTGGGACCTGAAGTAGAAGCATTTTTCACAACCAGGCGCTGCCGACAGAGCGGGCAGGAGGCAGCTCTGCCCGTGGGAGCCCGGTGCTTCGCTGGTGGGCGCCTGGCTGGGAACGTCGTTTCTTGTTTCGTGAAAGTTTGATGTGTTCCAAGCTCTTCTAAGTGGCTGTGATAGGAACGGGCGGCCGACAGCATTCGGCGGGGGCGGAATCCTCCTGGGGTGCCTCCAGAAAGGGGGAAAGGCACATTGCAGGGACCCTTTTTTCCTCTAGGAGCTGAGCTTGCAAATTTAATCGGTGAAAGCTGCAAACAGCTGGAAAACATCCAAGTCCTCTTAAATTCCTTGGGAAAGGAAGGAATATTTGATGGTTGGGTAGTTGGGGAATAGCTAGAGAAGGGCATTCAGGGCTGCCCAGGGTTCTGCCGTGGGGAGACGGTGTTTTAATTCCCCTTTGGCTGGATGACCCTCGTGAGGGTGTCCCTGTGCCCCGTTGCTGCCTCGGGGCGATCCTGGGGCGCTGCTGCCGCTCGGGAATGCAGGGGAGGACTGGGGTGCGATGGGCATCGCAGCGATGCTGCCGGCTTTGTTCACCTTCCAGCTCAGCCCCATGCCTGACCGCAACCACGTCCATCCGCCTCCTTCCGCTTCTCCCGCGTCTCCCTCTTTTGCAGGCGGATTGGTGCGGCACGGGGTCCCCCTAGTGAGACGCTCCCTGCTCCAACCCGGGCTGCGCTCGCTCCCCAAAAGCGTGTGGGGCTGAGCCGCTATCTCAGCACACCACCACCATCCATCCACCAAACGTCTCTCCTCTCCGCTGCCTCTGGCTGCCCTTCCATGGCTGATTCCGGCTCTAAACCCCTCACGCAACGTAGGCAAAGCCCCCGGGGCCTTAAACCCCGTGTCCGATTCTCCCCTCTCCTTGCAGGCGTGAAGAGGACCAACTCCATGCAAGCCCAACGGCCGCCCCCACCAA